GGAGCTGACGAACGTGACGAACTCCAGCACCGAAAGGTTGCCTGTACAACGGTTCTTGCAACAGGCTCCAGCACCAGAAGGTTTGTCCCTACAACCTTCAGAGCACCGCCCTCAAGGGTGGGAGAGTCCCTGTGCCCCACCCGACTCACCAGGGTCCTGCGTACCCTCAGGCATAGGGGCATCAGCAATACACGACAGTCCTTCTCCTGCTCCCCCCTCCTCGTCCAATGTACACAGCCCCCCTTTCTGATTGCGCAAAACACCATGGGGTCTTTCTGGGGGTTCTACGTCTGGTATGACACCCGACGGTGGATTCGGACAGTGTCAACGTCAGTGCAATGGATGGGCAGGAGGGGTAGGATGTCAGCTTGTCCTCCTCCTCTCTCCTCCTCTCCCGGTCCCCATCCCGCTCTAACAAGCGCGAGCTGCAGATCTGCTGACTCTTTCCGAACCAGCTTCCCGCCCGCTCGCTCGCTCGCTGTGGAGGGGGCGGAGGAGGAGCAGGAGGCCTCCCCTCCGGCCCCCGCTGAGAGGTGCTCGGGCTCGACGACGCAGGAGCCGACGTGGGCCCCATCTTCGAGGCGCGCTTCCGCTGGTCGCGCCCGCGGCGTCCCCTCCTCGCCCCATCCCGTCGCCCCGCCCTCCCCCTGTCAGATGATGGTGATGCTGATGATGATGATGATGCTGATGATGATGATGATGATGGTGGTGATGATGATGATGATGATGATGATGATGATGATGATGATGATGATGCTGATCAGGCTGCTGATGATGATAATGATGATGAGTATGATGATGATGGTGACGATGATGATGCTTCTGAGGATGATGCTGCTGATGATGATGCTGCTACTGCTGCTGACGCGATGCTACTGATCATGCTGATAATTGTTTATCATGCGTATGATGGCGATGCTGATGATGCGGACGATGCTATTGATGACGATGATGATGGTGCTGGTGATGGTGGTTCTGATGATGGTGATGGTGGTGATTGTGCTGTGAGAACAATGACGATGATGTTGTTGCTGCTGCTGCTGCTGATGATGATGATGATGATGAAAGTGATGGTTTTGATGCTGATGATGCTGATTATAATGGCGATGGTACTGATGATTCAATACATTGTAGTGCTGACGATGAAGATGATGCTGATGATGGGGCGATAATGACGATGTTGATGAAGATGATGCTGATACTGAGAATAATGATGATGACGATGATGCTGCTGCTGATGATGATGAGGTGGACGCTACGACGGTGACGACGAGGCCGATTGTGATGATGATGTTGATGATGCTGCTTACGATGCCAAGGACGATGCTGATGATGATAATGATGATACTAGTGATGATGATAATGATGATGGCACTGATGATGATGATGATGATGATGATGATGATGATGATGGTGGTGACGATGTTGAATGACGATGACGGTGCTGATAGTGATGCTGACGACGATGCTGATGCTGATGCTGGTTCTGATGCTGCTGATGATGCTGATGCTGATGATGCTGATGCTGGTGGTGACGACGACATCGACGACGACTACGAGGAAGTTGCCGCTGGTGCTGACGAGGACGATGCTGATGATGATGCAGATGATGCTGCTGATGGTGATAATGATGATGCCGCGCTGGTGCTGATGATGAGCATACTGGGGGTGAAGAGGAGTTGAATGAAGTGGAGCAGGAGGCATGGCATGATGTTAGGTGGACGATGCTGATGATGATGGTGATGCTGTTGTCGATGATGGTAATGACAGCGAGGATTCTGCTGCTGATGACGACGATGCTGATTAATGGTGGTGCTGCTGATAATGAAACTGATGAGGCTCATGATGCTGATGAGCATGAGGAGGAGGATTAGGAGGGCAGATGGAGGAGTGGGGGATTCGTCCCCAAGCGACCTTGACCTCGGGCGGGTATCCGCGGTGTCGCATGTGCGGCAGGGTCCAATACAGATCAAGCATGTTCGGATCACGAGCCTCACAAGGAAGAGGATGAGGAGGAGGACGGGGCAGTACGACACTCCAGCGACGTTGGTGATGACGATGATGCTACTGATGGTGATGCTGATCATGATGATGATGATGCTGACGATGACGGCGGCGACGGCGACGACGATGATGATGATGCTGATGATTCAGATGATGCAGATCCTGATCAAGATGCTGCTGCTGCTGATGATACTGATGATTACGCCGATGACGATGTGAATGGCGATGGCGAGGATGTTGATGACGATGATGCTGATGATGATGATGATGATGATGATGATGGTCGTGAGGATTATGAGGATGCTGACGACAATGGTGATGAATGCGATGATGCTGGTTATGAGGATGCTGCTGCCGATGATGAGTTTGATGATGGTACTGGTCAGGATGACTATGATGCTGATGATGATGATGATGATGATGATGCTGATGACGGTGAGGATGCTCATGATCTGTTTATGATGAGGCTGAGGGTGATGTATAGGATGGTGATGTTGCTGATGATGTTGTTGATGCTGATGCTGAGTGTGATGATGATGACGCTGATGACGATGCTGATGACGATGACGGTGGCTATACCGAGCATGGTGATGTTAATGTTCATGGTGATGGCGATAATGAGGATTGTTCTGATGCTGATGCTGATTATGATGATGTTGCTGCTGATGATGATGACGATGCTGATGATGCTGATGCTGATGGTGATGACCATGCCGCTGCTGGCGCTGCTGCTGATGATGAAGGTTACCCTGCTGATCGTGATGATGCTGATGATGATGATGACGATACTGATCATGCTGATGATGCTGATGCCGATGATGGTGTTGGTGATGATGATGCTGATGCTGATGCTGCTGCTTCTGATGATGACGATGATGCTTGTTGATGATGATGGTGGCGGCGGTGATGATGATGATGATGATGATGCTGTTTGCCGATGATGATGATGAGTTTGATGATGATGCTGATGATGATGATGATGCTGACGATGCTGATGATGATGATGCTGCTGATGTTGCTGCTGACGATGATGTTGTTGTTGATGATGATGCTGATGATGATGATGATGATGATGATGAGGAGGAGGAGGAGGACGCTGCTGCTGCTGCTGATGATGATGGTGATGATGATGATGATGATGATGATGATGATGATGATGATGATGATGATGATGATGCTAATGATGATGCTGATGATGATGATTATGATGCTGATGATGATGATGATGATGATGATGATGATGATGATGATGATGATGATGATGATAATGATGATGGTTCGGCAGTTCGAGCGAGGGGGGTAAGGTGGAACGGGGAGGGGGCAGGAGGGAGTGGCAGATGGAGGATCGAGAACAGGATGAAGAGCGGAGGGGTCGGATGGCTCGGAGGAGAAGGAGGAGGAGAAGAAGGAGGGAG